CAAGGAGGCAAAACTTACTGCCGCTGTACAGCCCCGGTGGAAGAATTCTTTCTGTAAAGGATCAGAGAGCAAACGTGTTCAGCTTTGTAAGCCATCTAGTCCTAGTTGCAAGTACCCAGCACTGCCCGTGAGGAGGTGAAAGCAGCCACAGAGGATGGGGACACATAGTGATCATCCCTATGTCCCAACAAATCTTGACTGCTAGACGCAGCTGGTGGACTGGGGTTGTCCCGCAGGCTCTTGTTTGCCAGCCTCAGCTCCAGAAGGTCTGAGCGATGCCGTTTACAGACCAGGAGTGATCATTATATATATAGCAGCAGAGCCACACAGGAGCAAGTACACGCACTTCACAAGGTCGCTTATGACGTTTGCAACAAGGACTGAAATTATTTCGTTCCTTCTCTGTTACGGTGGAATTAAACTAGAAATCATGACTCAGAAGAGAACTGGGAAATCCTCCGCTTCTTAGGAATTATTACCAATCACCAAAAGAGAAACCACAACAGAAATGAGAAAATACTGAGTGTCTCAATGATTAGAAAGCTATGACGTGGGAAAAACGAGTGGAGAGCCGAGAGCCAAATAAGGGAACACTCCCAGCATCTAGTAGAGGAGATAAAGGGTGAAAAGGCCCTAGGCTTCCACTCAGAAAGGTAGGAGGAGAATAGGAAATCCACCCAAAGCGATGAGGAAGGAAATGTAAAGAGGATAGCAGAAATCCTTGAAATAGGAAGACAAAAACAACACAAAACAGATAAGATCCCCACAAAGCCAATAGCTGGTTCTTTGGAAGGATTCATAGTATTGGTAAAACAGTAGGAGAAATCAAAGGCAGAAACATAAAATTCATAATTTCATTATCAGAAATGAAAAGGGAGGCAACCCTGAGACCGTACAGACCTTGTATAGATAATAAGAGCCATTATGAATAGCCTTCTTGTGATCAATCTGAGCTGCGTGATGAAATGAACAGTACCTTGAAAAACACATTTTAACTACATCTGACCCACAATGACATCGTAAAGCTGAAGTGTCCTGACTCATTTCTGGAAAACCTACCCGAGTAGAGAGTGCTTCTCTGGTAAATTCCCCACTAGCTTTATAGGAGAAATCAGCCCAATCTTCAACAAACGCTTCCAGAGAATAAACAAGGAGGATTGCTCCCCAATACATTCCCCCTGCCCGATGACAGCCTAACCCCAACCCAAAAGCCCAGCGAAGACACTGGAAGAATGGAAATCACAGATGATCCTCTCTTATGACCAGAGATATAAAAATACTAGCCAAATCGGAATAGAATCCTACTGTCAATAAGTTCTACCCCACCCAGCGTGATGCAGTATCCTGCACGGGGTCGTGGAACAGGAAGAGTGTTAAGGAAAAATGAATGAAATCTGAATAAAGTGTGGAGTTGAGTTAATAAGAATTTATCAGTGGTCATTCGTTGTGTTTGACAGATGTGCCATAGGACAGTAAGTAATGAGAGACTAGAGGGGATTGGGTGTGCGGTGTGTAGAACACACACACGCATAGTCCGGCAATGGCCTGGATCCAAGGTCAGTACTCCAAGATCAGTTCAAAAAAATCAATTGTATTTTTATACAACAACAAATTCAAGATGAAATTTTCAGGAAACCCGTAGCATTTTAAAAAGCACCACAATAGCTAGAAATGCAACCAGATCTCTCCAAGATTTCCACATCGAAACAGCAAAAACACAAATGAAATGGAAGACTTAAATAAACGGATACACCAGGCTTATGGATGGTGAAACCCGGTAGAGGTAAGATGGCTGTTCTCCCCAAATTAATCTAAAGTTTCCATCATATTCCAGTCAGAGTCTCAGCAGGTCAATGTGTGTGAGTGTGTGTGTGTCTGCATGTGCGCCCGTGCATTTGCGAGTGGGTGTGCACGTTGATTCCAAATATCCGAATGTTTATGGAAATATGAAGGGCTAGGAATGTCCAAGGCAATCGTGTGGAAGAGGAGAAAAGCTGGAGGACTTGCACTCTTAACTCTCAAGATTATTTATATCATTTCGTCAGTCATTTTGACAGTCTGATGTTGGTGTCATGGTTGAAAAATAGACCTGTAGAGGAGAAAAGAGATCTCACAGGTATCTAGTTACATGCTTTCTGACAAGGTTGGCCCTGCAGGTATTGGGGAAAGATGCTTGTCTGTACTCACCACTGGTGGGTAGATGAGATCTTATTCGCTACTTCACACAAAAGAAGCAGGTTCAGGTGCTTTGCGGATCTCCATGTAAATACTAAAAGAGCCAGGGGCTACTAGGTATTTATCCAAAGAACACAAATATAGTGATTTGAAGGGGCACATGCACCCCAATGTTTGTAGCAGCAATGTCCACAATACCCAACATATGGAAAGCGCCCAGATGTGGATTGACAGATGATAAAGAAGATGTGGTCTATATATACAATGGAATATTACTCAGCCACCCAAAAGAATGAAATCTTGCCAGTTGCAACGACGTGGATGTAATTAGAGGGTATTAACTAAGTGAAATAAGTCAGAGAAAGACAATACCATATGATCTCACTCATACGTGTAATTTAAGAAACGAAGCAGGTGAATGTAGGGGAAGAGAAGGAAACATAAAATAAGATGAAAGCAGAGATGGAAGCAAACCATAAAAGACTCTTAACTGTAGGAAAGAAACTGAAGGTTGCTGGATGGGAGGTGGTTGGGGGATGGGGTAACTGGGAGATGGGCATTAAGGAGGGCACTTGCTATGATGAGCACTGGGTGCTGTATGCTACTGATTAATTAAATTCCACCTCTACAACTAATAATACACTACGTTATCTAAATTGAATTTAAATAAAAATTTTAAAAATGTTAGTTGAAAGATGCCCTCTAGTGGTGCCTGGTTGGCTCCAATCAGTTAAACTTCTGCATTCGGCTCAGGTCATGATCCCAGCGTTCTGGGATTGAACCCCTCATCGGGCTCCCTGCTCGGCAGGGGAGTCTGCTGCTCCCTCTCCCTCTGCCTCTCCCCCAGCTTGTGCGTGCAATCACTCTCTCATTCACTCTCTCAAATTAAAAACAAATCTTTTTAAAAAGATGCTTTCTAAAATAAAAAAAAGAATGAGGGTTTTTTTTTTTTTTAAGAGAAATGTAGAAGAATATCTTTGTATCCTTGGATAATTATGAGTAAGAAAAGCGAACAGTATAGTGCTGGTCACATGTGGGAAAAGTGGCAAATGGGATTACATAAAAATTCACTTCTATCCCCGAGAAAATACGGAAAGACTGTGAAAACGATGCCACAGATGAAGAGAAAGCCCGTCAAAACACTGTCTGCTCAGGAGCTTGTATTCAGTATATAGAATGAACTTCGTCCTATAAATGAACAATTGAACAAGCAGATCATTGGGTAGAAATTTGAGCAAAAAGGCTTGAAGTCTGTTTACCAGAAAATGATGCCCAAATGGGTAATAAATCTATGAAAAGATGCTCAACGTCATCGTTTTTGGTGGAAACGCAACTCAAAACCATGATACGGTAACCCCAAAAGAATGATTAAACATTCACAAACGACCACTCATGTGGTGGCAAGATTTCAAAGTGTACACGATCCTTTGGAGTGTAAATAGGTACAACCGTTCTGGAAAACTCTTCAGCGGCATCTGCTAAAGCCATACATATGCATCGTAAAGACTCAGCATTACCACCTGTAAAGAACTCACACATGCTCACCTCAAGATGAGGACAAGCATATTCCTTGCAGCACTCTTTGGGGATAGACAAGAGCCAGAAACAATCCTAATGTCCATCAACCATCAACCGTGGAATATTCATCAGTGGAAAAGTATACAACTATGAGAGTAAACAATATACAACGGGGCCATAGAAGGGGTGGATTTCCCAAACACAAAGTAGAGAAAAGAAGCCAGACACCAAAAGAAACAATGCAGGATTTCATAATCACAAAGTTCAACAGACAAAATTAACATACAGGCTTACAAATGGAGACATTTCTTATCTTTGGCCTTGGCTGCTTATAGTGCCTGATGGAGGGACAGAAGCAGGAAACGAGGGTTTTCATCCAGTTCTGTTTCTGGAACTTGATGTTGGTTATATGGTTATGAGCAACACTTCATGAAAATCCGGTCGGCCGTCGACTTACAAATATGCACTCTACAGTACAGTACTGAACTTTCTAAAGTCCGTTACATGGCAAATAAAGAAAAGCAAGTGACTGGAGCCAGTTGTTCGTTCCTTCTCTTTAACCCCAGAGCCATGAATGGATACATCAACTGTGGCAAGTTCCAGGGAGAAAGCACGGTGTAAACACTGGGGTCACCAGGGGAACAGAACTCATGAATGAGAGCCGAGGAATTGAACTCAAGGACTCTCGAAGGAGGCCTCAGAACGAGCCAGTGGCATTGGTTGGCTGAGGCTATTGGGTGTGCCCACCAGGGAAGGTCATCACAGTAGTTGCGGGACCCTCCTTGGGACAGAGCGTCCAGTCTGTGCAGGGGGGCAGGTTGGCATTAAGCGTGCATCGACATTTATATGTTGGGCCTGGAGCTGGGAACATCTGGCCGAGGGGCCACTCCAACTGCAGAAACTCAGATGAGGGCCACACTTCCAGGGGCACTCCACTTCAGGGGCTGTGTGATCCTGTGGGACATAAGCAATTCTATTTATAGAGCCCTGGAATTCTTAGGACAAATAACGAACAGGGCATTTCACGTGTACAGCTATGCGCCAAGGTGCCATCCTACTATTTAGGGAGAGCCCGAGGCAGAGACGAGGTGGCAGTGTAGACAGAAAAACATCTCCAGAAGTTGTTCAGGGAGGAACCAGACCCTCCAGTGGCCTTACTTGGACATTCTTTATCAGTGAAGAATTCTAGGCAACGTAGCATTTGCGGATGTAGAGTGCGGGCATGGAGCTAGCTAGTACTGGGTGAAGTGTGCTTTGATATTTGCAAGCAGAAAACTGAAATCAATTATTTTCATCTCTATCTTTAGGTTTGAATGTTCGGGAACTATACGTTTACAAGAACTGTACATCCGGCTGCACTTTTTTATATCCATCCCAAATACCTCCTGAAGCCCCGAGAGTCCTTAAAACTAATAGTTTTTATTTTGTTCATTGTTGTCATAGTATGACTTGCAATGAGGGAGGACCTACTAATTTCGAGAGGGATATCCTACCCGATTATACAATTGAGGAGGAGTTAGAAGGAACTGTGCGCCTGGGGGAGTCAACATTTTTCCTGAGTGTTGCCTCCATCCTAGTCAGCAATATACTGACATGAGAAGCCCTCTTGGAGGGCCTGATCTCTCCCCCCATTCCTCAGAGCAAGTTCACTCTCCTTTCCTCCCTTGTGAGCCAGGGACCCTGACCCACAGGCCTCCCAGTTGGCCGGTTACCCCTTTCCAGCTTATTTCAAGAGAGAAATAAAGAACATCATTGTTTGGGTACTGCTTACCCGGAGATTTCTTTGTGGTTTTAGCGTTTGATCTGTTTGTTCCTCTTTAGACATCATCTCACAAGTAGAGCAAAACCTGTTGCCACTTTAGCTTACAGAGATCGAGTCTTCAGATGAAAATCAGAACAGTTACAGGGGACAGTGCACGTGTCGGCTGAAAGAGCGGTCCCAGCTATGCCCAGACCACAGGCAGCAGAGGCCACCTGAGGCTCCATGCTTCCGGTTTCAGGTCGGGACGATGGTCGCAGGAGGGTGCTTGGCGATAAGGTAGCACATAGACAATGAGCGCCTGACATTGGGCACTGTGCCCGGTGCCTTTGTGTGGGTCAGACAAGTCGTGCATGAGCCGGAGTCCTCCGTCAAAATGGCACCTGTCTTCACGCCGGCGAGAGAAGGTTTCCTCAGATGCTGACCTCTGAGAAGGGTAAGGGGCTCAGGGCCAGCTGGTGAGCCCCTTGAAATGGCAGGGGGACTTCTGGGCTGCTGCTGCCATTCTCCTTGCACACAGGGTCCGGGTCAGAAAAGAGACATGAAGGGAGCACAAGAGCTACACCTTCTTTCGCCCTCGTCCTCTCCTCCTTCTCTAAACCTGATTTTAAATCAGATAAAATTATCACCACAGCAAATTCATCATTTCAAAGGGTGTAATTCGGTCTTTTTTAGTATATTCACCTGCTGTGCGGCCATCACCACTGTCGAATTGCAGAACATCTTGCAGCCCAAAGGGAAACCCTGCTTCCACAAACAGCCAGTCACTCTAGGACCTCTCTTGCAAGGTAGGCAGATATTTCTGCAAGAAGGAGGAAAAGCGTTGGCAAACAGAGTGAGACTTCACGTCAGCTGCGGTGAGGCTGTGCCACACATTGTCAGCCCCCTGCTCCCCTAGGAGCACCATGACAGCGTGCGACACCAATGCTTAGTTCCCTGCTCCCGCCACAGTGCTCAGATTATGACCAGTCAGGAGGCTGATACTGTTCCAGTCTTTCCTCTTCTAGAAACTAAATAACCACAAACATGTAAAAAAGAATATGCATGCCTGAGCTGGACATCTTCAAAATCCAGAAACGAGTAGAATGACGGGCAAGGGAGCAGCCAGCCCAGCAGCCCCCGGGGGTCAGGGAGGGTCCGGTCTATGGGGGAAAGGATGCGAGGCATAGAACCCAAGCAGGATTAGAAGTTGCGATTGGAACCCCACTGAAGGGCAGGACTCTTTTTTTTTTTTTTAAGATTTTATTTATTTGAGATGGAGAGAGAGCAGGAGCTGGGGTGGGGCAGCGGGAGAGGGAGAGACAGACTCCCCGCTGAGCAGGGAGCCCAGTGCAGGGCTCCATCCCAGGACCCTGGGATCAGGACCCGAGCCCAAGGCAGATACCTAACAGGCGCAGCCCCCCAGGCACCCCAGGGCAGGACTTTGAAAGACTATGCTTGTATCAGGAGAAGAGAAGGAAGCTGAGTTCTGCAAGGCAGGGGATGAGGAGGAACAGCCACCCGTTCCCGCCTGAGAACCAGGATAAACGCCCTCACGTTGGCTTAGGACTCTTGTCCCTCGCGTCTTCGGGGAACCCCCAGGGTGAGTAATGAACACAAAAGGTGGCCTTGGGCAGGGGACCATGCTTGGGTGACTGGAAGGAGCCAGAGAATCGCTCAGGCGCAGCGCAGCCCCAGCCCAGGCCCCCCTGCCCGAGGAACAGATGTCCCGGTTGTGGACGTCTGCGGTGTTAAAGGCAAGGCTATTTCTGCACGGGAAGTTCTGACGAAGCACAGGAACGAGGATCATCAAGCGGGGTCCCTCCAGATCACCTGGAGGATTTTCAGAAAGAGCCCAGTGGACATGCGCAGCCAAAAGGCTCAGGGAATTCCAAGTGGGACACACGAAAAGGGACTTCCACGGAGCGCTGGACAGTGAGACTGCAGGAGCGCTGCGGACCAAGAGACGACCTTGACCCCGAGATGCTTTACTGCGAGGTTGTTTCCAAGATGTGCGCGGTCACTCCCAACCCCACATCCTTCGATGGGGGGAAGGGGTGCGGGCAGGGCCCGAGGAGCGGGGTTCGCGTGGCGCCTCTGCCATGGATGAGCCGCGAGGCTGTGCAGCTGGATGGATTCTCCGAGCCTCGGTTTCCCGGCCTGCGCCACACGGGTGAGCTCAGTGCTCCCCTGCCAGGGCTGCTGTGAAGAGGAGGGAACACGTGTGCCCCCACGGCACAGAGGGACACACACAGGCTCCCTCCAGGGGGGCGGCTTCCATTCCAGGCCTGCCTGCCATCTCGCGTCACGACACAGAGCAGGGCCTCAAGTAGAGAGGCGACTTTTGAGCGGCGGGAGAAGCAACCCGCGTTCATCGAGCGCCTGCTGAAGCAGAGAGCTGGGCACCTTCCAGATGCCAACCTTGCTGTGTCCTCCCCAGGGCCTGTGAGGTGGGAGTTCTCGAACAGAATGCCCCGGGAAGAACTCGAGGCTCAGAGGGATGAAGGGCTGGGCGCGATGGAAAGGCCGGGCCCCGGCTTGTGCCCGTGTGCCCGCAGGGTCTGGAGCCCCTCTTCTCCGTGGCTCCACGGCCCCTTCAGCTGTGCCTGGCCGGGGCGGGGGGAAGCCCACGCTCCTGGCAGCAGTCATCCTCCACCGCCGATGGAGCCAGGAGGGTGCAAATCCTCTCCCTCCTCCAGGGAATCTGCGCGGGAACAGAGGCCCGAGGGGCACCCGGGTGCGGGTAGGGCTGGCTCAGCCAGGGTGCGGCCCCGCCTCCCTCCCTGCCTTGCTGTGAGCTCAGGGTCTGGTTAATGGTAGGTCAGCAAATACTTACCAGAATTAGGGCCTATCTAGTTTTTCTCAAAAGGGAATAACAACATAAATTGACATATAAAAAAATTGGAGAGCAATGTTCTGAGACATCGGGACTGAAAGTGGTGGCTGAGGAGACCAGCTTATGGAAGACCCGTACTGATACAGGGCAGACTGCGAAGAGTTGGACAAGGGGAAATAATGGGGTGCAGGAAGAAAGTAGTAGAGGTTTATTTGTATTGATTTTTATTTTTTTTAAATATTTATCTACCCTAGAGAGAAAAAGGGGGGCTATTGGGAGGGGTAAAGGGAGAGAGACTCCCAGGCAGACTGCCTGCGGAGCATGTAGCCCAACAGGGTAGGGGGTCGATCTCAGGACCCCAAGATCACCACCTGAGCTGAAACTAAGAGTTGGACAATCAACCGAGTGCGCCACCCAGGTACCTCTATTTATAAGCATGTTTTAAAAAAGATTTTACTTATTTGTCAGAGAGAGAAAGAGCAGGTGAGCAGCAGAAGAAGGAGAAAAAGGCCCCACGCTGAGCAGGGTGCCCCACGAGGAACATAATCCCACGACCCTGGGGTCATGACCTGAGCCGAATGCAGACGGTTAATGTACTAAGCCACCCAGGCGCCCCTATTTATATTCATTTTTAAGTGAAAAATGAAGCTTTAATGATTTCACTTGTCCCGCGGAGAATAGCTTTCACAAGAGAGCTACATAATTAGGGGAGTGGGCTTACCATATGTTCTGGAAGGAATGTGTGTGCTGTTAAATGTTTGGAGACCATCGCTCTGTCGCCTGTAAATCACCCAAGAACTTCTGGCCACACGAAGCTGCCCCCACCAAAGAGACGTCTGGAGGCCCAGCACCATCCAGCAGTGGCGTGGCCAGGGCTCAGGAATTCAGAGGCAGCGTGGCAGCACTTCCGGAGGTCCCACCCACGTTCCCGGAAATGTGTGGGGTGCAGAGTGGAGGCTTAGGACTGGCGCTAGCCCCAGGCCGACTTCACGAGCTCCTAGGGAAAGCGATTGGCACGATGAACTGAAGATGAGGTGAAGCCAGAAGAGTGCCGTGCAGCCAGTGCTGAACCATGCTGCCCCTGGCAGGTGCACGGCGACGGCATGGGTGCCCAGGCCCTGGCTGGCGGCTCATCAAGAGCCCAGTGCTGAGCCCTGGGCCATGGCTGATGGGCAAGAGTCCCGTCCTTACAGAAGGATGTCACGCACTCTCATCAGAGAATACAGGTAAGAACCCTATGATCATCAACATTCACTTAACAAGATTTTCTAAAAATTCCGGAATAGAAGAGAATTTCAATCATTTAATAAAAGTTACCTCCCTGAAACCTAAAACAAACACCAAAACTCAGAGAATTCATAAACCTTTCTGGTATTACCTCATAAATACTTGCTAAAATACTAAAACTTACAAAAGACACAAGGAAACAAGATACAATGGATAAGGAGAAATAGACCACCAGGGGTGTCAAACACTGAAAACAATAGATACAGGATACAAAGTAAATTTTTTTAATTAACATATAATGTATTATTTGTTTCAGGGGTACAGGTCTGTGATTCATCAGTCTTACACAATTCACAGTGCTCACCATAGCACATACCCTCCCCAGTGTCCATCACCCAGCCACCCTATCCCACCCACCCCCCTCCACTCCAGCAACCCTCAGTTTGTTTCCTGAGATTAAGAGTCTCTTATGGTTTGTCTCCCTCTCTGGTTTTGTCTTGTTTCATTTTTTTCCTCCCTTCCCCTATGATCCTCTGTCTTCTTTCTCAAATTCCACATATCAGTGAGATCCTATGATAATTGTCTTTTTCTGATTGACTTATTTCGCTTAGCATAATACCCTCTGTTCCATCCACGTCGTTGCAAATGGCAAGATTTCTCTTTTTTTTTTGTTGGCTGCATAATAGTCCCATGTGGTGTGTGTGTGTGTGTGTGTGTGTGTGTGTGTGTGTGTACCAACTCTTCTTTATCCGTTCATCTGTCGATGGCCATCTAGGCTCTTTCCTAGTTTGGCTATTGTGGACATTGCTGCTGTAAACATTGGGGTGCACGTACCCCTTCAGAACACTACATTTGTGTCTTTAGGGTAAACACCCAGTAGTGCAATTGCTGGGTTGTAGGGTAGCTCTATTTTCAACTTTTTGAGGAACCTCCATACTGTTTTCCAGATGGCTGCACCAGC